TAGATGTGAGCTACTGTGCCTCACCTTGAGAATATTTTTTTATCACCCTTTCTCCTTTGCCTAGATACCTTCTATTTATCTTTTAATTCTTAGGTTAGTGTCTGCTTTTTTTGGAAATCCTTTCTAGAAGTTCTCAGTATTTCACGGAGTGGTTTTTCCAGCCTTCCAGAACACTTATATTTATTTATAATTGTATGTCCATAGGTATAATTATTTGAAAAACGTTATTAAAGAAACATTTCTATTCCCATGCTACAGGCAGTATGCTTGTGTTTGTTTACAAAACACAAGGAATTTAATAATACTTCTGTATAAATAAATATTTATCTATACATCTTTGTCTTTATTTCAGATTGCTTCTTTGGACTATATGCACAGAGGTGAAATGAATGGATCAAAAGGTACACAACAATTCTAATGGCTTTCAGTACATAGACAGATATGTTAATAGGTGATGAAATATTCTCTCCCAAAGAGCCCATTAATGAATCAGAGATAATCTGGGAAAGTTTTAGATGGTAATTTCAGTGCGGGTCTTTTTTTCATTTTTGGCTTTCTTTTGTTTCAGCATCTTAATCTGTTACTTAAATCTCTATGTGGAGAGGGAGCTTGTCAAATCTGCCCATGATATACAGCAAAGAAGATACCAGACACATGATTAATAGATGCAGGTTCCAACAATATCTTTTCAGGTTATACTAATGACCTCAGGCCGGGCACGGTGGTTCATGCCTGTAATCCCAGCGCTTTGGGAGGCTGAGGCAGGTGGATCACCAGAGGCCAGGAGTTTGAGACCAGCCTGGCCATTATGGTAAAACCCCTGTCTCTACTAAAAATACAAAAATTAACTGGGCATGGTGGCTGCACACTTGTAGTCCCAGCTACTTGAAGGCTGAGGCAGGAGAATTGCTTGAACCCGGGAGGTGGAGGTTGCAGTGGGGGTTGCAGTGAGTGGAGATCACAGTACTGCACTCCAGCCTGGGCAAGAAGCAAGACCCTACCTCAAAAAAAAAAAAGAAAAAGAAAAAGAAAAGAAAAATCTAATCAAGATGAAATCCAGCAGGACAAATGTCGGATCCTTCACTTTGATTAAGAAATTCTATAGCACTGGTACTGGATGAAAGTGTAGTTTAGTGAGACCTGTGTCTGCCTCTCGTTGCTAACTCCGAAGTCCCTTCTACTTGTCTAATGTATCCCCTGGCTTTCCCTGTTGCTATTTCCAGACCCACAGTCTGCTTTGTTTTTCTTCAATAGCTTCCTCTGTACACTCCATTTCTTGGAATTTTCATCCTACCCTCCCCTGGCTTTGGCCATGGTCTTCCTAGTTGCCACCTCAATTGACACTATTCTCAAGAAGGGCACTTGGACGAGTTGTATTTTTGTAACTGCAATATATGCGCTTTGAAAGAATGTGTATTCCCTCTTCATTAGCAGTGAAGTGAATGTTCACATATGCCCTTGGATGAGACTTGTAGTCGAAGTTTTCGAATCTTCTGTATCCTTAACTATTTTTTCCTGCTAGCTTTATTCTTTTCAGAGAGAAAGGTGTGAAAAATCTAGCACCATGGTGTGGAACTTGTAATTCTGTCAAGTGTAGCTTTATTTTTAGCCTATGTTTTTAGGTATAGGTTCAGGACTATTATAAACTTTCTGGTGACTCTCTTTGATCCTAATAATGTTTTTTCATTTAAAATTTATTTTGCTGATATTAATATTGTTCATGATAGTTAATTTTATGTGTCAACATGGAGGGTGTTTTTGAAAGAGATGAACTTTTAAATTGGTTAACTTTGGTTAAAGCAGATTGCTGTCCATAATATAGGTGGGCTTCATCCAATCAGTTGAAGGCCTGAATAGAATAAAAAGCAAGAGGGAATTTTTCAGCAGACTGCCTCCAGACTTTCTTTGCCTTATTGGCTGCATTGGCCTTTGACTAGAACTGCACCAACAGGTTTCTTGGGTATTGAGCCTGCTGGTCCAAACTGCAGATTTTGGATTTGCCAGTTTCCATAGTCAGGTGAGCCAATTCCTGAGAGTAAATCTCTTCTCTCTATATATACACACATTCTATTGAGTCTGTTTCTCTAGAGAACCCTAATAAATATATTGTTATGTCACATTTATTTGGCTATATTTTCTATGGTATCTCTTTTTTCCATTTACTCTTAGAGATGGTGGTCCTGTAGAAACAGCAAATAGCTGTTTTGTTTGATCTTTTTGTATGTAAGAAATAAATCATATCAAATACAAATTAGGATCCAGGAGATTTTGAATCAGTGGTAAGAAGCTCACCTTACTGCAGTTCCAGTACAGTTTATAAAGCATAAAGACAAAGTACTTTGACCTTTTTCTTGATTGGCTGTTATGCATTAATTTTTTTAGGGCAACTATTTAAGCTGAATTGCCTATAGCTGACTGGCTTAGTTTCACCGAGTTATGCTGACAAGGATATAAACCTTACGTTTTGTGTTTATTATTACAGATGGTGTTTTGGGGAAATGAGGATGAGTTTTGGTTTGTGGTTTTACAAAGTTGGACTTGGGTATATCTAAGCTGTGGCTTCCATTTTCATTTTTCTTTAACACACTAAGACCTCTGTTTTTTAGAGTAAACATTGAGTTTACTCTGTTTATATTTTCTGTGACCATGGATATATTCAGATTTATTTTTACTGTTATTTTATGTTCTGTTATTTTATGAGTATTTTTCTTTGCTTCCCACCCACTTCCTGCCTTTTGTTGAACAGATTGTTTTCCTCTTCTCTTTTCAAATGGAGAAACTTAAAGCTTGGGAATCTTCAATAAAACCAATTTACAGGAAGAAAGAAATACCAGTTATAGAAAAGTTAAGGCCACAGAAGAATCTGGCTTTTTTTTTTTTAATGGAACTTATGATACAAAGTAACCTTTTAAAACTTCCATTTGATGTTTCTGGCGTTGGTGACAGGTGAGAATGTCTTCTATTCTTTAGCTAATAATAATCTATAAGAAGCTATTTAGCTGTTTTGGTGTTCTCCTGGAAACCACAAGGCACATATAGCTATTTAACTTAGTTAATTACATTAATCATACTTTAATGCAAATTTAAAATTGAGTTGCACCAGCCACATTTCAAGCACCCAATAACTACATTTGGTTAGTGGATGCTATTTTGGACATTGCAGATTATGGAACACTTCTATCATTGTAGAAACTTCTATTGGACAGGAGGTGATAAGCTGATAGCGGTACTGTAGCTTTGTACTTTTGAAGCAGAGCTATTTGGGAGACTGCATCATATTGCAGAATGTAGAACTGACAATCTACATCAGTATTCCATGATGTTCTTACAGTATCTTCTGCTCCTGTGGTGAACAGTGACCAGCATGAGGTGCAATGCCCACCATAGAGGCTGCTGGGGCTCCTGCCTCTGTCCACAAACTCCAGGCTTGGTCCTCGCAGGACGTTGGAGGTAATTTATATAGAGCAACAGCCTAGAGAGCAATGGTGATAACAGCAGCTGAGAGGCCAACTTCTGTACAGTCGATATCCTGAATTTTTGAAAACTATAGAGAGGCCAAGCAAGACTGGAGCATTTTTAGTTGGAGCCAGGTTGCAAAGGGTTGGGCCTGGCCTAGACTGGTCCATAACATCTGGTATTCCTCCCTCCCTCCCTTCCTCCCTTCTTCTCTCTTTCTCTTTCTCTCTTTCTTTCCTTCTGTCTCTCTCAAACATTTTTTTTTTTTTTTTCTGGACAGGGTCTTGTTCTGTCACCCAGGCTGGAGTGCAATGGCAGGATCTTGACTCACTGCAGCCTCCACCTCTTGGGTTCAAGTGATTCTCCTAAGCCTCCTGAGTAGCTGGGATTATGGAGGCACACCACCATGCCTGGTTAATTTTTGAATTTCTTTTTTTTTTTTTTTTTTCAGTAGAGATGGGGTTTCACTATGTTGGACAGGCTGGTCTCGAACTCCTGACCTCAAGAGATTTGCCTACCTAGGGCTCACAAAGTGCTGAGATTAGAGGCATAAGCCACAGCACCCAGCCTCTGGTATTCTTTTGAAGCTTTGACCTCTACCACCTTGTTGCCAGACTGGTTTAGGTATTATCTGATTAGGTAAGATTACAGAGGTCTTTCCTAAGCCTGTGGCACCACTGGCACAAACGGTCACTAGACAGAACTTATTTAGGATGGCATTGGTAGGGAACACACATGCCAACCACCATCTGCCCCTTCATATCCTGAATGGGTAGGTGAGTCTCTCTTTCTCTTGGCCGGCCAACATACATCATCAAGGTACATATGCCCATTCATTACAGAAACAGCTTTGCCTCTTTGAGGGAAGAGAAGCTGAAAAAAAAAAACCCTTTTGCTTCTCTCTCACTCCAGCATCATCTTGGCACTGGTAATATATCTAAGATATTCATAGTCAGTGGTGTTAGCCAGACTCATATTTACCCCTTCGATTGGGTTTTTTCAAGTTTCAACTTCTGTTGTTTCAAGTGTTTAACTTCTGTGCAGAGCTTACGAATATGATTTTCGCCACTGAGTTCCTTTCATTTCTTCCACACTGTAGGTATCCAAGGTTTTTGTGACTTGGGAAGTCAAATCCTTTGGATTTCTCACTAGGCCCTGTCATCACATTGACACTTTAGAATTCTAGCAAATAAATGAAAAAAATTTTCAGGTTGTCATCATTCATATCTTCCCCAAAGTTTTAACTTTGTGCCAGGTGCCTTGTTAAGTACAGTGATACAATACAGTGCAACATTAAATGGTGTCCCTGACCTCAAAGTTGCCCAGCAGGAAAGACAACTAATTAAGCTATTGTTAAGTTATTTACGATGAAGACAAAAGCATATGGTGCCTTTGCGTCTGTTTGATTTTATTACTCTTTAAATTTGACATACGAAAATACCATTCTGAAAAAGTTCATGTTCCTGGAACAGATGCACTAAACAGTACTGTTAACGTCGTGACGGATTCAAGAACAATAGTGACAATTCCAATCTGCTTTATAGGGCAGTTACAGAATTGGAGGAAGCTGCTCCAGTACAACTTTGGAGGGGAGGAGGAGCAGGGCCTGAAAACATCTTTCCAAGGACTTAGGAGTACGTCCAGTCGCCGCGAGGCTTCCCGCGCACTCAGCCCCCCGCCGGAGTTGGCGTGGCGGGGCGCCCCTAGCGTGACTCCGCCCAGGGCGCTCGGTTCCACTAACTGGAAACTACAGTTCCCAGAAGGCCGCGCGAGCCCGGGCGGGACGCGGCGGAGGTGTAGGCAAGAAAGGCGCGAGTGGAGGCGGCGGTGGGTGTCCACTCGGTGGTCGGTCTGGCAGCAGCCAGGCCCCCGGACGCAGGACGTGGACCAGGCAGCCCTCGCAGCTCAGTGCTCTGGCCAGGGCAAGCCAGTGCCTCTGCCCGCTGGACAGGCCCAGGCGAAATGTAGGGCGCTGGGCGCGGAGGCCGCCGGTGCGGCGGGGGGATCGCAGAGGGCGCACCGAGGATGGAGAGAGCGATGGAACAACTCAACCGTCTCACGCGCTCGCTGCGCCGCGCGCGCACTGTGGAGTTGCCCGAGGGTGAGCTGCTTCGCGGGGCCGGGCTGGCCTCGGAGCGGGGAGGGGGCGGCCAGTGGGGCAGGAGCTCTGGTCGCGTCTAGGTCGGGTGGAAAAACTAACCTAAAGCTGAGAAAACGCCCACTTTTACTTTCCAGAGCTGAGGGGCGGCCCCGGGCCCCGGGCCCCGGACTCCCCTGGCCCCACCCCCACAGGTGGGAGTTTGAGGGAGGAAACTGGGTGGCGCAGGTTCCGCTGCTGGGAGGAGCGAGACAAAGATCTCTCTCGTCTGTCCATTAGGGAGGGTCTTGGCAAAGGAGCAGGAATACCAGCCCGAGGCCCGAGACCTGGAGTCAGAAAACATCACAGTTGCGGACCGTTTCACAGTCGCTGGGGATAGAGATGCCCTAAAGATAGTGTTTACTTTAAGCTGCATCAGGGGTCCAGGTGGGCTTTTATTTTAGTTATTTTTTAAAATATTGGGCACTGCCTTGTTTTGATAACAGGCAGACAAAGGGTTGTCACACATCAAACAGGTACTCTTAAAGTTCTGTGTGCGCAAACACAATACATTTTTCTTTGATATGCATGCCTGCCTTCATTCTTCATTTATTCGTCAGACTGGTATTGAGTAAGCTAGCTGGGAACTAGGACGCATCTGCAAAGAGGAATAAGGCATGGTCCCTGAGGTCCAGGACTTTTAGTTCAGCGTACCAGGGTTCCTTCAGGACAGGCAAAACTCTACTAATAACAGAGGAGAGAAAATAAGCACTTTTGTTTGCAGTGTCGTGAATTCGGACGTTTTATTGGTGATGGGAGTTGGCAGTGCTGCTTCTAAGAAGCTTTTGGCTCTTTATGCCCAAGTGAGAGAAGGGTTGGGAGGAGGTTATGGCTGGTGAATAGCTTTTTTCTTAATTGTAGGAGTTTATCTTGTTTTCTAAAAAATCCCTTTGAATTGCTGCTGGGTGGTTTGTAGGATAGGGAAGGAGACTTTGGCACACAGTCATGAAAGAAATGTGGGGTTGGGTATTTTGGCGATAATTTTCTTTCCTTTCTTTTATAGAGATGAGGTCTCACCATGTTCCCCAGGACGGTCTTGAACTCCTGGGCTCAAGCAATCTGCACCCTGCTCCCCACAAAGTGTTGGGATTACAGACATGAGCCACTGCCCCTGGCCTAGGGATAATCTTGAAAAAATGTTCTCTAGTCCCTATTTAGAATTCAGATTTTAGTAACTAGATTATAGCTTCAACTTTTTCTGTATTTTCTTTCCAACGTCTACCTTTGATTCCGTTTCTTAAGTGCTGCTCTTACTTTCTGGAGTCACATTATTGGTATATAGGTTGATGAAGACTGCGTGTATAATTTATATTGTCTAGTTTGAATCCCCACATTTTTTACATAAATGTGATTTAGAAGACTTTGATAATGTTACTTGGCTTTAAAAGTAATATATTTCACTGTAGAAAATTTGGAAAATAAAAATAGAAAAATCTGTCATTCCACCACCCAGTTATAAACAATGTTGTTATTGTTATTTCTTTCTCTTTCTCTCCCTAACAAGTTAAGATCATATTGCATATAGTCTTTTATTTTGTGTTTAGAAAACATCCCAAATGTTTTTTTAAGTGCTTCAACAGACTTAATGAGTGTAGGATTTCATAGGATGCATGTAAGAAATGTTGAATCTAAATACTGTTTTTAAACTGATTTTATGAGAAACAGCTTTGTATTTAAGACATTGTTTGCCCCTAAATACTTCCTCAGGGTTAATTCTTAGAAGAACAATATCTACAATGCATTGCTAAGGCTCTACATATCAGTTTCTCAACTTACACTTAGGAAAGTTCCACCAGCAGTCTAAGAGTGCCCAGAAACCAGAGTATTATAGGTAAAAGCAAAACTTTTCCACATACAGGCAAAGATGGCATCTTGTTTGCATTTGCTTTTCTTTGATTATAATGAATTTGCTCATTTTGTTTCTTGATTTTAATTTACCTTTGTAAGTTCTGATGAGTCTTTTTGAATTCTCTGAGCTTGGTTCTTTCGAGTATATCATATATATATATATAAATGAAAATACAGATTTCCTACTGTTACAAACACGTTTTGTGCTTACATTTTAAGGGCTGAATGGAAACTCTGAAATCTCTATAAGTTTAGAAAATAATCAGTTTTTTTTCTTTGCTTTGTTAGAATTCGATAATCAATAATCATCTAATTACAACAGACTACTAAGCTTGTAAACTTCTTTTTTTTTTTTTATTGAGATGGAGTTTCGCTCTTGTTACCCAGGCTGGAGTGCAATGGCGGGATCCTTGTACTTTACAATTAACTTTGTTGCGAAGGTTGAAACCATAAATGTTTGATTAAACTGAGTTGGATACTATGTTTCCTGAGATAATGAAAACTTGAGTATTACCCTAAGTAATGGAGTGCAGGTAGTTGAGTCATCCTAGGCTGGCCTAACACAGGAATATTCTTGAGGAAAAAAAGAGGTGAAGAGTAAGAAATTACTTTAGGGATATGGATTATTACTAGAGTTTAAAAGGTTGAGGTTGGGTGCAGTGGCTCACGCCTGTAATCCCAGCACTTTGGGAGGCCGAGGTGGGTGGATCACGAGGTCAAGAGATCGAGACCATCCTGGTCAAATGGTGAAACCCCGTCTCTACTAAAAAAAATACAAAAAATTAGCTGGGCACGGTGGTGCATGCCTGTAATCCCAGCTACTCAGGAGGCTGAGGCAGGAGAATTGCCTGAACCCAGAAGGTGGAGGTTGCGGTGAGCCAAGATAGCACCATTGCACTCCGGCCTGGGTAACAAGAGCAAAACTCCGTCTAAAAAAAAAAAAAAAAAAAAGTTTAAACTACAATATGGTGAATGCAGTTTGTTTAATAAAATAATGAAATTTGAACCCATTTTAGCATATGTGATCAGAATAATTGTGTTTAAAAAAATTACTCCCATCTGATGGTTTGAAGAGAAATTGCATATAATTAAATACTCTGAGCACTTTTTCTTTTGGAATAGTTTGGTTTTGAAACTGTAGTGATGAAAATGGGCCAACATGTCTAATAAAGTGAGATATTAAACTTTTCTTGTCACCCTGGAGACTTTAATTATATACCTAATATTGAAGGTGTCTTCAAGAGTAAAGAAGGAAGTATCTGGTAACAAATATTATTCTGTCCTTTCTTAGCATAGTCTTTCTTGGATAGTCTTCTAGCACCACAGTTGGGGTTAGATTTATTTCTTCATACTTACCGGTTAATGTATGTGACCTACTTTTTTTTTTTTTTTTTTTTTTTTAGGTTAGATGTGACTTAAATAAGATGTAAATCTAAATTTTATCTGAAAAATAAAAATCTTACAAATAAAATCAACATGAAGCTTATTATGCTGTCTAATGCTCACTTAAAATTGTGCACTATCTTGATTTAAAGTTTATCTTGATTTAAGTGTAAACCCACAAGTAACTTTTTTATGACTTTATTATGGAATGACTTAATGGAAATTCTCATGGTTTAGAAGTTCAATATTTATTGGGACATAAATTTTATGCATGATAAAGAATGTTGTCATGTCAAGGGAGGCTTGGTGTAGTATTTTCGACTCCTGATGGTGACTCATTGGTAGTTTCTAGGAGCAATTAGAGGGTCGCAGTCAGCATTTAAAAAGAGAAAACAAGAGGATAAAAGAGAGTCTGTTTTACATATTAAGAATATTATTATATTGTGGACCTTATAGTTAGACGGTATATTCTGGGTACCCTGTAGGATATATTATTTGTGGAGGCTCTGGAATCAGCCACTTAATGCCACCATTACACAGCTTGTTACTTAACTAGTACTTCTGTTTCCTCATTTGTTAAATGAGGTTAGTAGTACTTCTTAAGTGATTTTGAGGAGAAAAGCAATGATATATGTACCATTTTTAGAAAAGTGCCTTTAAGATAATGGTTCTTGGCCGGGCGCCGTGGCTCACGCCTATAATCCTAGCACTTTGGGAGGCCGAGGTGGGTGGATCACAAGGTCAAGAGATCAAGACCATCCTGGTCAACAAGGTGAAACCCCGTCTCTACTAAAAATATAAAAATTAGCTGGGCATGGTGGTGTGCACCTGTAGTCCCAGCTACTCAGGAGGCTGAGTCAGGAGAATTCTTGAACCCAGAAGGCGGAGGTTGCGGTGAACCGAGATTTGCGCCATTGCACTCCAGTCTGGGTAACAAGAGCAAAACTCTGCCTCAAAAAAAAAAAAAAAAATAGACTGAAGAACTATCATAGTTTGGGGGAGACTATAAGAAACATAACTAAAGGCAATATGGTATCCTGAATTGGATCCTAAAAAGGACATTAGTGGGAAAACTGGTAAAATTTAAACAAAGTCTGTAGTATAGTTAATAGTATATGCAAATATTAATTTCTTATTTTTGACACCTGTACAAAATGTACTGTACAAGATGCTAACGTTAGGAAAAGGTGGGTGAAGGGTACATGGGCGGAACTCTGTGCTATCCATGCAAGTTTTCTGTAAGTTTAAAATTACTTTTAAAAATATTTTTTTAAAACAAGGAGAAACTGTCATAGAATAAGAGTCTTAAGAGACAAATCAACCATATGTAATATGTAGCCCTTGTCTGGATAGTGATTAAAAAAAAAAAAACTGTAAAAGGAAATTTTTGAGATGAAGACGAAGTGTATATGGACTCAGTATTTTATTTCAGAATAATACAAAATTACTGTTAATTGTATTGGCTCTAGTAATGGTATTATAATTGTGTTTGAAAAACAATTCATGTGTTTAGAAATATAAACTGAGCTGTTTATAGGGCAATGGAGAAGAGTTATTACCAATCCTGCACGTATTTTACCATTAGTGAGTGTAGACATGAAAAGCAATTTAGTCCTTGTCAAAATTCAAGGATTATGGACATGTGCCACCACACCTGGCTGATTTTTGTATTTTTAGTAGAGATGGGGTTTCGGCATGTTGGTCAGGCTCGTCTCGAACTCCTGACCTCAGGTGATCCACCCACCTCTGCCTCCCAAAGCACTGGGATTATAGGCATAAGCCACTGTGCCTGCTGTTCTTCAGTCTTTCTTTGTGTTTAATGGCCCTGAGAACTTTTAAAGAGGATCTGTCAGGTGTTTTGTGGAATTCCCCTTAATTTGAGCTTCTCTGATATTTTCTCATGATTGGACTGTAAGTTATGCATTTTTGGCAAGAACAGTAGTCTAACCCTTATCTGCAGCTTTGCTTTCTATCAGTTGCTGGAGGCATAGCATAATATTTTGAGAGAGAGGGAGAGAGACCACAATACACATAACTTTTATTAGAGTGTATTGCCATAGTTGTCGTATTTTATTATTGGTTATTGTTGTTAATCTCTTACTGTGCCCAATTTATAAATTAAACTTTATCATATAGGGAAAAGAATAGTATACATAGGGTTTGGTACTCTCCACAGTTTTAGGCATTGATTCAGGGTCTTGGAATGTATCCTCTGCAGATAAGGGGGGACTGCTGTACTACAAAAGTGATGTGCCCTTCTCAGTGGATCATACCAGGAGCTATATGATATTGATGTATATTATTTCTGGTGATATTACCCTTTGTCAGTTGATTAAGATAGTGTCTGCTGGGTTCTTTAATATAAATTTTCTTTTTCCTTTGTAATTCATCAATATTTTTGAGAGGTACTTGATACTATGTAAATATCCTGTTTCTCCTCAAACTTTAGGTTAAACAGCATCAGCATTAACATGTAAAGGGCTAAGTGGGGGCTATCAGGGTTTTGTCTCTAAATAATTTATTAAAAAACAGAAACCTCCAAAATACATTGAATTGATAAATGACCCTTAGTAATATATAAAAATCAATTGAAAACACTAGCTGAAATGTACATAAGTATAATACGACATCATAGACATTGATTTTTAACCTTTTCTTTTGGGTCATGTTTTTGTGAATTTATCTCCCTTAGTCTGTTTTCTGCTGATACAGCAATACAACAGACTGGATAATTTGTAAAGAAAACACATTTATTTCTCACAGTTCTGGAGGCTGGGAAGTCCAAGAGCATGACACCAGCATCGAGTAAGGGTCATCTCATGGTGAAAGTCAGAAGGGTAAGAAAGGAAGACAGAGAGGAAGGGCTAAAGGAAAGGGGATTGAACTTCCATGATAACTAAGCCACACTTGCATTAACAGCATTAATCCATTAATGAAAGAGGAGCCCTCATGTCTCAATTACCTCCCCAAAGCCTCACTTCTTCACACCATCATAATAGCAACCAAATTTCCAACACATGAACTTTTGGTGACACATTCAAACCTTAGCAGATATGAATAAAAATGGTGGGAGTAAAGTGGTAAGTACAATGAAGACTTCGGTGCTCTTTCATAAAAGCTTCTAAACTAATTTATTTTGTAATAATATTGACAAGAAGCCAGTGTTATGTATATTTAAGGTTTTAAAATTATTTTAGCATATATATAATATCTATGTATATTTACAGTTCCCCCAAACTACATGTAAGTATGACAAAACATGATGCCTGTAAACACCTCTTTGGAAGTAAAAGAAATTTCAGTTGTTAAAGCTACAGGAATGTTTTTGGATGATGATGTGTGGGCTACCATACTATGCTTAGAGAATTGTTTTTTGATGGTTAATTGGACAAAACCTTCTGAAGAATCAGTCTATAACTTTCCTTTTACATGCAGAAGCTAAGCTCTTTTGTGATAATATAAAGGGATAAGCAGTAGAGGGGATGAAAGATTCTTCACTATCATAAATTTTGAATTACCTCTGGTATTCTGCATTATTCTTTCCTCTTCCTTCCTCTCCTTTTTGCTTTTTGTGTAGAGTTAGGAAAATTCTAAACTAATCTTAAATATCACCCCTTGGACAAAGTAGGGGATAAATGAACTCTTTTTTTTTTTTTTTTACTCAGATAATGAAACTGCTGTTTATACATTAATGCCAATGGTTATGGCTGATCAACACAGGTGAGTGCTTATTTCATAAATTTATGCTTTTTAAATGTGTACCTGCATGCATGCACGTGCACGTGTACGTGCGTGCACATGTGCGCGGGTGCAAACACACACACACACACACACACACAGAGTTTTGACATAGATGTTGTTTTGTCCTGGGGCAAGTTATTTAATTTTTCTTTTGTAATTTTGTGTGTGTGAAATAGGGAATAAGATTTTCCAAGATCCATGTGAGCTGTAAAATTTTATGGTGAGAGATTTTCTTAATGAATATTCAGATATTTGGTTGGTCACTGACATAGAAAAACACATTGTGATGATTTCTTTCAGAGGTCACTGCTGATCTTATAGCAAAAGATGAGGGCTGATGGACAGCTTATTTCCCTGTTGTGCTATGTACTTTGATGTTTCTTTTATTGATGTAGTGTTGACACTCTTTTACAGGGTCTATAAGAAGTACAGTTATTTGGCTTTGTGATACACTTACAGCTCTGCTGTGGCTAGCCATTGGATAGTTTGATATAAGAAGAAGAATGTGAAAAGAAACTATTTTGAAACAAGTTAAATTTTTTTTTTCTTTTAAATTTCTTATCTGGTATAATTAAAAAATGTTTTTGTCTGATTTTATTTGGCCAAAATTAATATAGCTGGGCTCAGCTTTTGGCAAGGGGAACAGCCAGGCCTACACCCTCTGTTTCTCAATCTAAGGAGAGCTAAAGCCAACTTACTCTGTTGTGTATCCTGAGCAGGTAACATAGGATGATCCAGTGGCAGATGAGGAAACCTTCAGCACCCTTGTAGGCCAAGGGGTTTGGTTTTTGGATGATAATGTGCTAGCTAACATACTGAGAATAGTGCAGTATTTTGTGGTGGGTGTGGGACAAAATCTGAAGAATCAATAAGAGTAGCTAAAGAGCTGTTAACTTGATTTATTATGTTTTTGAAAGCTTTTTTTACACAATGATTTCTTTTTTTATTTTGGCATAGGTCTGTTTCTGAACTACTATCAAATTCAAAATTTGATGTCAATTATGCATTTGGACGTGTGAAAAGAAGCTTGCTTCACATTGCAGCAAAGTAAGATGAAAGATATTTTGAGTTAAACTCTGGTCTAGAGCAAGGAACAGTAAGCTTTGAATCAGCGTTGTCACACAATATTTGTGGGGAGAGATGGGCACAGACAGCTGAGTAGTTCCTTATACTCTTTTAGGGTGTGGTGTGCTGTTTGTTCTCTAGATAAACTGCTAACTTTGGGATTGTATGTAAGTCTCATGTCCCTCTTGTCTTAGCGTGTTTTATACTGGATCAGAGTAGGTTAGGCATGGAGACTGTCTTTCCTGAATGTACTCAATGGTGCAGTTCACCAAGATTTTCTTTGTTTTTTTTTTTTTTTCTCTGTCGCCGAGGCTGGAGTGCAATGGCGTGATCTCAGCTTACTACACCCTCTGCCTCCTGGGTTCAAGCAACTCTCCTGCCTCAACCTCCCAAGTAGCTGGGTCTACAGGCATGTGCCACCATGCCCAGCTAGTATTTTGTGTTTTTAGTAGAGATGGAGTTTAGCATATTAGTCAGGCTGGTCTTAATCTCCTGACCTCGTGATCTGCCCGCCTCAGCCTCCCGAAGTGCTGGGATTACAGGTGTGAGCCACCACACCCGGCCCAAAATTTTCTTTTCATCCCACCAATATGAGATTTGTGTATGCTGTCTGCAGATGAAGTCACTGGCCTTATATTTTTTACATAGGTAGAATGATTTTATTTACAGTCTTCTAGTGTGTAATCAATCAGTTAACTAATTGGTATCTGTCTTCTTCAGAATTTAGGTAGGTGTGTAGAAATCAGTTGCCCATGAATAATTTGGCTTTGAAAGGCCAGAAAGTTGAAAGTACCGTATGGTTTTTTTGAAGTATTTGAGTTTCTCAAATACTTTTTAATTTTCATAGTAGAATGAACTCTACTTTTGAAAGTAGGGAATGTTTACCATTTGTGTCAGAAGTTAAATCAAATTATAGGTAAAAAAGTACCTTAAAAATAATGTATTTAAGGCCATGCACAGGGGTTCACATATGTAATTTCAACACTTTTGGGGGACAAAGTGGGCAAATAACTCAAGGTCAGAAGTTCGAGACCAGCCTGGCCAACATGATGAAACCACATCTCTACTAAAAATACAAAAGTTAGCCGAGTGTTGTGGCACGCACCTGTAATCGCAGTTATTTGGGAGGCTGAGGCAGGAGAATTGCTTGAACTCAGGAGGACAGAGCAAGACTCCATCTCAAAAAAAAAAAAAAAAAGAAAGAAAAAGTTTTATAAGGCTAGGCATGGCAGCTGGCATGGCAGCTCACACCTGTAATCTCAGTACTTTGGGAGGCTGAGGTAGGCAGATCATTTGAGTTCAGGAGTTTGAGATCAGCCTGGGCAACACAATGAGGCCTCTTCCCTATAGAAAAAAGAAATTACCGAAGTGTGGTGGTTTATGCCTGTAGTCGCAGCTACTTGTGTGACTCTTATTTTTCTACATGACAGAACAGACTGAATTTAGCTAGGTAGGCACAGATGTTGGCTTTTGGGAAAGAGTTCAAAATCTTTGTAGCAATATTAATGTTAAAATATTAAGTCAAGTACAGTGGTACAAGTCCCAGCTTCCGAGGAGGCTAACTTAGCCTTAAAGGCAGGAGGATTGCTTGAGGCCAGGAGTTAGAGGCTGGAGTGTGTTATGATAATGCCTATGAATAACTACTACATTCCAGCCTGGGCAACATAGCAAGACTCCTTCTCTTAAAAACATGGCCAGGTACAATGGCTTATTCCTGTAATCCCAGCACTTTGGGAGGCTGAGGCAGGCAGATGACTTGAGGTCAGGAGATCGAGACTAGCCTGGCCAAAATGGCAAGACCTCGTCTACTAAAACTACAGAAATTGGCTGAGCATGGTGGCACACACCTGTAATTTCAGTTACTTGGGTGGGAGGATTGCTTGAGCCCAGTAGGTCAAGGCTGCAGTGAACCGTGATGGTGTCAGTGTACTCCAGAGTGGACAGCAGAGTGAGACCCTGTCTCAAAAACAACAACAAAAAAAATGTATTTAATAGAATATTTTGTTTTTTAATTAAACTATATCAAATATGGCTGTACATTGGATGTATCTTAACTGTCTTTTAATGTTGTTGTAGTTGTGGATCAGTGGAATGCTTGGTTTTGCTGTTAAAGAAAGGAGCAAATCCTAACTATCAAGATATTTCAGGCTGTACACCCCTTCATTTGGCAGCAAGAAATGGGTAACTATTTAGTTTTCTTAAGTGGCTGAAGTTGTATTATCAGTTATTCAATGCAGTTTGCCTTGGTTTGATGATTCCTCCTATACCCCCAATATTTACCTTGAGAAAAACTACAATAATGATGTGCATATTTTATTTTCTATAATTTTTTTTGTCTCTCAAAGATATTGATGAGATTGTTCTTCTTTATAGTGGATCTTGAGTCATTGTATTGAATTTTTAAAAAGCTATCATATTTAGTAATTCATTAGATTGCTCACTAATTTCTTCTTGAAAATTAGTATGTGGAAATTCATTATTACTTGTATTACAGTGACATTGTATTTTCTGAAAAGCATAATTTTCATCTCTTTTTTAGTGTGCTTTTTTTCCTGCTAATCTTTTGTCACTCCTAACTCCATGGCTCACTTTGCAAATTGCTTGTTTAGATAATTTTATTAATGGAATTATACACAGACTTAATACATTGTACACAGTTTATTTGTAATTATTTGTGGATGAACTGTACCAGAGTAATCTTCCTAGATAGTAGGGCAGCTTACTCCTTTTAGTGCTATCATTAGTTTTTATTTGGTCTGACAAATCAGACTAAAATGATTGGAATTATATTTAAAAGGAAAACAAGTAGTTTTTGATTCAGGACTTGAAGAACTGATGTTTTATAAACCCTTTCAAACAGATACTTCTCTATGGAGTACGGGCCTGTAATCCCAGCATTTTGGGAGGCCAAGGCGGGTGGATCACCCGAGGTCAGTAGTTTAAGACCAACCTGACCAAAATGGCAAACCCTGTCTCTACTAAACATACAAAAATTAGCCAGGCATCGTGGCGCATGCCTGTAAGCTTAGCTACTTGGGAGGCTGAGGTGTGAAAATTGCTTGAGCCTGGGAGGCTGAGGCATGAGAATTGCTTGAGTGCCTGGGAGACCGAGCTTGCAGTGAGTGGAGATTGTGCCATTGCATTCCAGCCTGGATGACAGAAGAAACTCTGTCTGAAAACGAAAACAACAAAAACCAAAAAAAACGTCTCTATGGATACGGTGTACAAGTGCACTGTGTCTTTTTTTCTATTACTCTTGAAGATATTTTTGTTTCCCATTCAGAACTATGCTTCTAGATACTTGTATTAGCTGCCTAATAAGATGGATATGGAGCTAAAATTGTCCATTACATCAATCTGAGGCCAAATTTTTGCATGTAAAGATTAAAATAGAACAACAACAACAAAAAAGGCAAATATAATAGTGCCTAGGTTGGAGAGGGGAAAGGCATATTTCTTTGACCTTATCTGATCTGCCCCATTTCCTGATTTAGCATGTGAGCCAGGTTAATTGTCCACTGTTCTCATAGGTAACAATGTGTTGAATAAACAGTTATTTTTATAATTAGCCATGTTAGGTATCTTGTAGTGTGTTACACCCGAGGTCATAGAGTAAATCATTCATTCCCTTGCTGAATTGATCTCAGGTCTAAGTACATTATCCCAAGTGTTGATAGGGTAGTGACAAAGGTCTTGAAAAGGTTACATGTAGGAAAATATCTTAGTACTCTGTTTCAACAACTGTTAATGAAAAGAGAGATTAGCGCAGAGCAGGGATTAAAAACTCTGCTGTCATTTCAGTAGGCAACTTAGTCATAAAACCAGTGTGAGACTTGAAAGACAGGATGTTCTTGATCTGCTAAAAAGAATTTTCATGTACTGTTTTTCAGAAATGAATAAAGTGGCACAGAGAAAGTAAATAGTTTTGATCACTATTTCTGTCAACAGTAATTGAAGACCATTATATTTTAAAGGTGAAGAAATATGGCAGATTCACATAGCCATTCAGCAAGAAGAAAAGGAATAAAAAGAATCCTTGAGCCTCTCTTTACTTTGCATGCTTTTCTATTTCTATAAAGATTACTCTTGACATTTAATACTTAAATATTTTGGTTTTTATTATTTATTTAGTGGAAGCCTTGTACAACTTAGAGGTGCTCAGTGTTTGCTAAGTGACTTGAGTACTTCCTGTAGTGGCTGATGTTTTCAGAAATAGCTTTTTACTATAATTTCTTTATGAGTTCACATTTATTCATACTGAAGTAGAAGTCATAGTAGAATCCTGCCCATTTTGCTGGTCTGTCTGTGTTTTGGGGCCAGCTTTTTGTTTTGTTCCCTCAGCTGTCATCAGATGGCTACTATATTTCTCTTGGCCTGCTTTAGCATTTTTCTCTTTGCCATTAGTGCTGTACTGGATTGTCCTCCTTTCTAAAAGAATCCCCCTTAAGCTTCAACAGAGCACTTAGGTGACTGGTCCCTGTGTCATTTGGGTTACCATAATTTCCCTATAATTGGTGCAATATCTGAGCAGAAATGTAGTTGCTTCCTTGTACAGGGTGATTCAGCATTGCTCATGCTTATGTGAGAATGTTAAAAAGAGAGGCTTTGAAATTGTGTATTCTTAGTTGCATTTTGGTCAGATTTGAAAGAAGAATTTTTCTTTATTTTTTTAGGTGATTGTGAGCTCATAAAGGGTAGGGCCCATGTATTACATAATATTTTAGTTCCTGTTAGCAAAATAGCCGCTCATTTATTGGGTTGATTTGGCTTATTCAGATCTGGAAAGTAGTAATAATGGTTGTTCAATAAGAAAGATAGGATATATTTCTCTCTGATATTGCCCTGTGCCTTTTGAAATTCATTTTTGAAAGGGGAAGCATTATAGATTACTGCTTTTCTTCCACAACCCCTACCCTAAACACTTTTTTGGGTCTACTTCTCTGGCCCATTCCTAACTAACAATTTATTTTGGCATTATTGGCTTTAGGCCAGTGGTCCATGATAGGCATCTGAAAGGTTTTAGAAATCCACCCATGCTGGTATAGACACATGAACACACATTTAAACAGTGCATTTATTTTAATGGGACTATCTCATCTGTGGTCTTATGATTATTGAATATATATTTCTTAAGATTTTCCTAACAGTGTGTTAGACAAAGGAACTTTGTAAATGTTTGATTTTGAAAGTTTACCTGAGCTTTATTTTCCTCCATTTCTTTGATTATAATGCTAATTTTAAATGACATACAACTTCATTACAAGTACAAAAATCAAAGCAAGAAAAGTAACTTGCCAGTTCTTTTTTCTTAAAAGTTGTATTCAATCAATGAGAATTTTACCTATTGACTTATAATATTGAATATTAATAATCAAAAGTTTTATTGAGAGCTATGAGCATGGCTATGCTTAGTACTGAGTTGATTAAAGAAATATGATATAATCCATGGATGGCATGAAAATGTTTATGATCTAGTCGAATAAATAGTAATATGTATATATAAAATATACTCTATATATACCAATATATACCATATGCTGTGTATAGCATACGATTTAGATTAGTGCAAAAGTAATGGCGGTTTTTGCCATTGAAAGTAACGGCAAAAACTGCCATTACTTTTGCATCAACCTCTTATTATATTACTACTATATTTCTTACATCATATCATATGTATACAATACACATGTATTATATATACACTATATTGTATATATTACTATTTACTCACTGGTCTATTTGCCAGTGAACTGTACACTTAAAAATGGTTATGATGGCAAATTTTAGATGTATTTTACCACAATACAAATAATGGAAAAAATAATGAGTCTATGCATCACCCTTTTCACCCCCAGTAAGCAGAGGGATTCCTAGACATGCATTTTATTGAAATTCTGATTACGTTTTTGTAACATTTTTGTGTTATCTTTTAAATATTTTGCTGTCAAGAATGTAGGATATAATGTTGAGACATCATTTTTCTCTATCCATTTCCCTTCCATTAGTCTTATATTTTGTTATATTTCTAATGACTATTACTATTTCATAAACTTAGCCAATACTAGAAATTTTTCTGCAGTTCGAATGATGATTTGTCCCAGTGATATGAAAACCTGATTGTGACATTGTTTTATACTGTTATCTCTGAGTCACAGAAGCAGTTTTGTATTTTATATCAAATAGTGTTTGTTTAAATATTGCAGATATGGTGTGATATTACAGATAAAGATAGGTTTTGATGTCATCAGCTGTTATTGATTGTAGTTACCATTTCAGTAAATTAATTGTTGTTTGAATATTTTTTTAGTAACAGTGATCCATGACTGTCTTTTCTTTTCAGGCAGAAGAAATGTATGAGTAAATTATTAGAATATAGCGCTGATGTCAACATTTGTAATAACGAAGGCCTTACAGCAGTAAGTGCTATCAGTGTTATTTGATATTTTAAAAGTACATTTTAGAAAATGATATTGAATGGGACAGTAAGGCAAAATGTAGTACAAGCGTTTCTGCAAGTTACTTTTTTTTTGAGACAGAGTCTTGCTCTTTCACTCAGGCTGGAGTGTGGTGGTGTAATCTCAGCTCACTTCAGTCTCCGCCTTCTGGTTCAAGCAATTCTTATGCCTCCGCCATCCAAGTAGCTGGGATTACAGGTGTGTGCCACCATGCCCAGATAATTTTTATATTTTTAGTAGAGATGGGGTTTCATCATGTTGGCCAGGCTGGTTTCTAATTTCTGGCCTCGAGAGATCACCTGTCCCACCCTCCAAAAGTGCTGGGATTATATATGAGCCACCACTCTTGGCCTGCAAGTTTAGTGGTTAAGAAGGTACAGAATGATTTGAGATAAAGTTTTAAGCTATATTAAAAAAACAGGTGTTAGCTAAATTAAGGCAAGTTATGGCTCACCATATTTCTCTTTTCTCCTTTTTAAGTTTATGACTTTCATTTATTTTGAAACTTATTTTCCTAGCCTTTGTCACTGACTTACAGGGACTTCTTAGGAGCATCTCTGCTGAGGTGTGTTATGTGTTCATTATTGGAGAGCTGTTTTTCATTACGTTCTTTTAAGTACTTTTAATATGTTTATTGTAGAATTAGATGGTTAGTCAGAAAGGAAGAAAAAGATAACAAAGGGAATGAACACTCCCTGTATGCCTTGCACTCTGTGAGATAATCACAGTTTTTAAAAAAAACTTTGTACTTTTAGTAGAGACAGGGTTTCACCATGTTGGCCAGGCTGGTCTTGAACTCCTGACCTCAGGTGATCCACTTGCCAGCCTCCCCAGAGTGCTGGGATTACAGGCATGAGCCACCGCGCCTGGCCTAAAAAAACCTTTTTTTAGAGACAGGGTCCCACAATCACTGAGGCTGCAGTGTAGTGGTATGTTCATAGCTCACTGCAACCTCAAACTCTTGGGCACAAGAAATTATTTGGCATCGTCTTTCCAAGTAGCTGGGACTATAGGCGTGTATCACTACACCTGGTTAGTATATTTTATGATTTTTTGTAGCAGTGGGGTCTTGCTTTGATGCCCAGGCTACTCTTGAACTCCTGGCCTCAAGCAATTCTTTTGCTTCTGCCTTCCAAAGATATAATCATTGTTAACATTTTATCCTGTTATTAGACTTACATTTGATATAAAGTAGTGTTTGCCATTTTGCCATATCACTTTCTTTGCAAAAATAGGTTTATATATTTTTTATTCACGTGGAGGTGGTATGCGATACTGCTGAAGAGATTGTTGAAATCCTAGAGTTTTAACCAAATTGTCATTATTTAATAGAGCATTATTAATTTTAGAAGTAGAGATAACATAGAATTATGTGACTATTGAGCAGTTGTTTTGAAATCATGGCAGAAGATGTTAAGTTTTATTTATTAAATTATACATTCCTTTGAATACTATTTATATTTTAAATCTTTTAATTTGTGAATAAAGAATAATATTGAGTATTTACTTACCATGCTGGTTTTCAAGGCCTTTATGATAAAAAATTTGGGGGTGAGGCATAGAAAAACAACTTTCCTAAGATTTTGAATGGCTTATTATAGAATAAACTCAATCATGATGATTATATGGCATCTTACAATTCCTGTAAAAATTCAGATTTTGTTATATATTAGTAATATAATACCATCTATTCTGTAAGGAAAGTCTGTATTCTGAATATCGATAGGATGCGTAGTGACATGGTAGGTGCAACAGAGGCTTATGAAACCCTAGAAATGACATAGATCTTTCCTTAGGACACTAACCAGTTTAGGCATGATAAGGTGTTCAGTGTTAATATAATCTCCTTTAATTGCATATGTTTTTAATCTGTTAATTTCTTCCCTTCCCTCCTGTACTTAAGGGAGGTGGAATAGAAAATTTGTAAAAATAAAATTTTTATTTAACAAAATTATTCATGTATGTATTTAAAGAATCAAATATTCTACATGGCTTGTAGAAAACAGTCTCTTGGCCTTCCTCCCCAACCTCCCAACTTCCCACTCCCTAAACAACTTCTCTCAGCTATTTTAATGGATTTAAAAATGTTATCGCTGTATATCTAAATAGCATGCTAAATGTTACTTCTTGGTTTTTTTGGTTGTAGGCATCATCTATTGACTTTCTGGAAGATGAGATTATTGTTCTCTTTTTCAACTCCTCCTCCCATCCTGTTGTGTATAAGCACATTTCCCTTGAATCCTTTAAATAAAATCACTGTTATTTTAGTTAGGTCATTTTTGGTGTGTGTTTTTATTTTTTTGACTACGTGAAAACTATTTATAGTTAAGCCAAATAGTTGGCTATAGTTGCTTTCTTTTCTTGTATAACATTTTATTTTCCCTGTAGTTAATGATTGACTTTTTAAAAAAATTTGAGATAATTGTAAATTCACATGCAGTTCTAAGAAATAATACAGAGAGATCCCCTGCACTTTTTGCCTAGTTTCCTCTGTAAAATTTTGCAGAACTGTATTATAATATTACAATAAGGACATGGACATTGGTACAATCCATCTTACTGAGATTTCCTCAGTTTTATTTTATTTTTTTGAGACAGAGTCTCGCTCTGTTGCCCAGGCTGGAGTGCAATGGCACTGTCTCGGCTCACTGCAACCTCCACCTCCTGGGTTCAAGTGATTCTCCTGCCTCAGCCTCCTGAGTAGCTGGGACCACAGGCGTGCACCACCATGCTTGGCTGATTTTTGTATTTTTAGAGGTGGGGTTTCACCGTGTTGGCCAGGCTGGTCTCGAGCTCCTGACCTTGGGTGATCCGCCTGCCTTGGCCTCCCAAAATGCTGGGATTACAGGTGTGAGCCACTGCATCTGGCCTTCCTCAGTTTTAATTGTATGTGTATGTATGTTTATGTATATTAAGTTCTATTCAGTTGTATTACCTGTGTAGGTTACCTATCTAGTTTTATTACCTGTGTACATGGTAGGTTTTTGCCACCATAGTCAATATTCTGAACATTTCTAACACCAAAAGATAGGTGTCGTTGCCCTTTTGCAACCATACCTTTCCCTTTGTCCTTCACATCCCATGGCTAACTCATGACAGCCATTAATTTGTTCTCCATTAGTCATTTCAAGAACGATACAGAGATGGAATTATATTGTATGGAACCTTTGGGTATTGGCTTTTTTTGTTCGTCATATTCCCTGAAGACTTATCTAGGTTATACTTATCAATAGTTTGCTCCTTTATAATGCTGAGTAGTATTCCATCCAGTAGTGGATGTACCACCATTTGTTTAACTATTCACCTATTGAAAGACATCTGGATCACTTCTGGTTTGGGGCTATTATGAGTAAAGCTGTTAGAAACGTTAGGGTACACATTTTTTTGTGTGAACATAAGTTTTTGTTTTTTCTGGGATACATGTCCAAGAATGCAGTTGTTTTCCATAGTGGCTATACTAATTCATGTTCTCACCAACAGTGTATGAGGGTTCCTGTTTCTTGACATCCTTGCCAGCATTTGTTATTGCCTGTCTTTTGGATATAAACCATTTTAACAGGGGTGAGATGATACCTCATTGTAGTTTCGATTTGCATTTCTTCGATGATCACGGATGTTGAGCCCCTTTTTATATACCTGTTTTCCATTTGTATATATTCTTTTTTTTATTTGAATGCAAATAACTCTGGGCATGGATATATCTTCTTTTGAGAAGTTTCTAAGATCTTTTGTTCATTTTTTAATTGAATGATTTTTTTTCTTTTTTCTTTTTTTTACTATACAGTTGTTTGAGCTCCTTATATATTCTAGTTATTAATCCCTTGTCAGATGGATAGTTTGCAAGTATCTTCCACCATTCTGTAGGTTCTTTACTTTGTTGATTGTTTCCTTTCCTGTGCAGAAGTTTTTTAACTTGAAGTGATCCTGTTTTTGTTTTTGCTTTGGTTACTTTTGCTTTTAGTCAAAAGCAAATTCACTCAAGGGATATTACTCAAGAAAGCTTTGCTCAGACCAATTCCTGGAGAGTTTCCCCAGGATTTATTTTAGTGTCTTATTTTACTAGTTTCATGTCTTCGATTTACATTTTTAATTCATTTTTATTTGATTTTTATATATGGCAAGAGATATAGGGGTCTAGTTTCATTCTTTTGTGTATGGATATCCAGTTTTCCCAGCACCATTTATTGAAGATACTGTCCCTACCCTCAGTGTGTATTCTTGGCACCTGTGTAGAAAATGAGTTCATTGTAGATGTGTGGATTTATTTCTGGATTCTGTGTTCTGTTCCAGTGGTCTGTATGTCTGTTTTTATACCAGTATCATGTTGTTTTAGTTACTGTAGCTCTGCAGTGTACTTTGAAGTCAGGTAATGATATTCTTCCAGTTTTCATCTTTTTGCTCAAGATGACTTTTGCTATTCTAGATCTTTTGTGATTCCATATAAACTTTAGAATTATCTTTTCTATTTCTGTGAAGAATATCATTGGTATTTTGATAGAGATTACATTGAATCTATAGATTGCTTTGAGTAGTATGGATGGTTTGACAATATTGATTTTTTCAAACCTTAAACATGGAATGTCTTTTCATTTTGTGTGTGTGTACTTCTTCCGTTTTTTGCATCAGTGTTTTATAGTTTTCTTTGTAGAGATCTTTCACTTCTTTGGTTAAGTTGGTTCCTAGGAATTTAATTTGTAGCTGTCATACATGGGATTACTTTCTTCTTTTTCAGGTAGTTTGCTGCTGCCATAGGAATGCCACTGATTTTTGTATGTTGATTTCATATCTTGCGACCTATCTATTTACCAGTTCTAATAGTTTCTTGGTGGAGTGTAGGTTTTTCCAAATACAAGATCTTATCATCTACAGATAAGAATAATTTGACATCTTTCTAGTTTGAATGTCCTTTTTTTCTTTCTTTTGTCTGATTACTCTAGGACTTCCAGTATTTAATAATGGTGTTAACAGGGTCTTTTGAAGAGCAAAATTTAATTTTGAAGCCAAATTGATCAGTTTTTTGCATTATGGATCATGCTTTTGGTATCAGGAACTCTTTATCTAGTCCTTGATTCTGTAGATTTTCTCCTTTTTTTTAAAAAAGTTTCATAGTTTTGTGTTTTACATTTAAGTCTATGATCTCTTTTGAGTTAATATTTGCATAAGATATGAGGCTTAGGTCAAGGTTTTTTTTTTTTGCCTGTGAATGTCCAGTACTAGCCCTGCTTATTGAAAAGGTTGTCCTACCTGCATGAATTTGGTTTTGCATATGTCTCAAAAATCAGTTGGGCATATTTGTGTGGACCCACTTCTGGACTTTATATTCATTCCACTGATCTATGTGTCTCTGCTAATCTCTCTGCTAATACCACACTGTCTCTATTACTGTAGCTGTAAGTTTTAATACCAAGTAGAATAAATAATTCCTCTCACTTTATTTTTCTTTGTCAAGATTGTGTTAGCTATTCTGGTTCCTTTGCCTTTCCATATAAATTTTAGAATAAACTTGTCCATGTCTACAAAAGAACCTTGCTGGGATTTTGATTGGAGTTGCTTTAAACTGGTAGATCAATTTGGGCAGACTTGTTTTTACTGTGTTGATTGAGTCTTCCTATCCATAAACACAGTATTATCTCCACACTTACTTAGGTCTTTGATTTCTTTGATTAGAATTTTATACAGCACAGTGTGGGGCTTTTGTGCATGTTTTGGTAAGCATATAACTATTTCATTTCTTTGGCATAATTGTAAATGACGTATTTTTAATTTGAGTTTATGCATGTTTGGATAGAAACGCAATTGGTTTTTGTATGTCAATTATGTATCTTGCAATCTTGCTGAACTCACTTATTAGTTCTAGGGGATTTTGGGGAAATTGCTTGGGATTTTCTTCATAGACAGTCAGGTTTTCTGCACGTAGAGACAGTTTTATTTATTTATTTATTATTTTGACACAGAGTCTCACTCTGTTACCCAGGCTGGAGTGCAGTGGTGCCATCTAGGCTAACTGCAACTTGCGTCTCCTGGGTTCAAGTGATTCTCCTGCTTCAGCCACCTGAGTACCTGGGATTATAGGTGTATGCCACCATGCCCAGCTGATTTTTGTATTTTTAATAGAGATGGCATTACACCATGTTGGCCAGGCTGGTCCTGTACTCCCGACCTCAGGTCATCCACCCGCATTGGCTTCCCAAAGTGCTGGGATTATAGGCATGAGCCACCGTGCCAGGCTTTTATTTTTTTTCCAGTTTGTATGTCTTTTATATCTGTTTCTTGCCTTACTGCATCTTTATTAATGTTTTCTTGTAACTTACTAATTTATTACCAAAGTCTCTTTCAGCTTTGTAAATATCCTCTTAATATGTAGTCAGTACCTTTCATGTCCTTGATTATGTCTTGGAGGAGTCTCTTAAGGAGACTTTTGTGCTCTCTTGGCTGGATTGGTTGGACCTAGGTCTGGCCACACAGTTGTTTGGAACGTCTCCTCATCATCATCCTGGGCATTCCTTTGCTTTTTTTCTTGTTTTGGGTTCTTTGTTATGTGGGTCTCATATCTGTCTTTTCTGATAACTGTTCTACCACTTTGATGGAGCTCAACTCGGACAGTTTCCTGAGAAAAAGGGTGCATAGGATATGTGTTGCCACCTTGCATCTTTGAATATGACTTGAGTCTTTGAGTCTGTCTGATTATGCAATTGACAGGTTAGCTGACAATCTAGATGAGACATCATTTTTCCTTAGAATTTTGAAAGCATTGCTTTGTTGTCTTCTAGCTTTGTTTTGAAGTTTAGTACTATTTTGATTGTCGATTCTTTATATGAAACCTGTTTTGATTTTTCTCTCTAGAAACTTATAGAATCTACTTTGTCCTTAGTGTTCTGAAATCCTATGATTATTATGTCTTGTTTTGGATTTATTTTGTCCATTTGTCTGTATAATAGTATTGAGACCCTATCAACCTGGAATTTCATGTAATAGGAACTTATGAGAAATATTCATAATTATTACTTTCGTGATTTCCTTTTCTGACTTTCTCTGTTTTATTTTTTCCCCTAACCTCTATTATTTGAATATTAGACCTATTCACACCAACCCTTTACTTTTCCTACTTTTTCTCATTTCTTCATTTATCTTTGTACTTTGGGGGAGACTTCCTCAAAGGAAGTCTCTAAATCTTCTTATGAGTTTGCATCTCTCTGTCATAGTATTAATTTCCAAGAGTTTTTTTTTTCCCTTGTCTCTTTCAAAAAATAGTATTCTGATCTCATTTCAGGGATGCAATCAGTATGTTCTCTCTCTGACAGTATTAAATATAGTTTTTTCTTGAATATTCATGGTTCTTTTTTCCCCCTACCTTTTGCTTTAAAAAAATTGTATTTTTCAAATTTGATGGATTTATCAAATGTTTGATGGGAATGGAAAAAGCTATTTGAAGGCTGTCAGCAGGAGTGAGGTTTGTTCATTAGGAGCTTCAGTGTAGGGTGACCTCCTTGGGCATTTGCCTCTTGGACTTTTTCAGTATTGATTTCTTTAGGCATTTACTCTTGAGTTGGTCAGATGTCTCAGAGAAGACTCTTCCAACTGCCTGGAAGATGTTAACAGCCTGGGTGCTGGTTAGAGAAGACTGCTTTGTAAAATCAATATTCAGTGTTTAAACTTGCACTAATCTCCCCTTTTTAGTGTGGTATTCTTGGTTCAGTGTGCCTGGTGTCTCTTACCTAGAGACTGTTTTCAAGCCTCTTGCATTCTATCTGATTGAGGAGGGGCTGTTAGTGGTCTTGCACAGTTGGGGAGGGATAGAGATATGAGGCTCTAAATCTTATTAAATAAACTTTCAACCTCTTTTCAAGGGGTGCATGGTACTTACTATTGATTCTTGATCCTTTTGGGAGTCTTATGATCTGAATCACATTTTTGAGGGGTTTGTCTAATACTGGGGTAGCATTCTGACAAGTCAACAAATGTAATCTGACAAGATAAAAACATCATATATTTTCTTTGCTTCCGAAACTTGCTGTTCTCTTCTTTGTATCTTTATGGATCTTTATGGATTCTTGAAGGAAGTACTCTTTCCTGTTATTTCAGTGAGGTTTAGGGAAGAAGAGGCTGATGCATATATTAAACTTGCCATTTTAAAACAAGGATTTCATGATTTTCTTTTTAAAGAAAAAAAAAATCTTGTGAAAAATTCGTAGATAGCATAGTCCAAAGTTTTAACATTGATTATCTTTGAGTGGTAGACTTATAGGTGTTTTATGCATATTTTTATCCTCCTTTTTTTTATTGATGTAAGATACATGTGTTACTTGTAAAATACAGGAAGTAAGGAATATAGCATTGCTATGTCAACCACTTTTTCACTTATGTTTGATTCTGAGAAAGGAAAAATATCTAACACCTTTTCTCCAGAGATAAGCTATGCATAGAGTCCAGGATTATCTAAGAAGCAGAGTATTTGATGACTGTGAGCTGGGCATACTTATTATTTTGAACCATTGTGAGTTATTTTAAAACAATTTTTCTTTTTTTTGAGGCAGGGTCTCACTCTGTCACCCAGGTAGGAGTGCAGTGGCATAATCGTAGCTCATTACAGCCTCAAACTTGTGGGTTCAAGGGATCCTCCCACCATAGCCTCCCAAGAAGCTAGGACCATAGGTGTATGCTACAATGCCCAGCTAATTTAAAAAAATTTTTTGTAGAGACAGGTCTCGCCACATTGACCAGGCTGATCTTGAACTCTTTGCTTCAAGCAATTCTCCTGCCTCAACTTCCTGAAGTGCTGGGATTACAAACATTAGTCACCACTTCCAGCCCCACTGAGTTCTTGATTTTGAAATATGTAGTAGTGTAATCTGCATCTTGATACAGAAATTTTCCTCATGTAAAACCTAGTTTCAGCTACTTGAGCGACTGAGGCAGGAGGATCACTGGAGCCCAGGAATTTGAGGCCAACCTAAACAATATAGCAAGACCCCAACTCTAGAAAAACCCAAACCCATAAATTTAAAGAAATTTTAAAAAGGGAAAAATTACATGGACTTAAATTACCTTTAGATTTGCATGAGAAAATCATGCTCAGCTGAGAAATAACATTATTTATCTGCTGTTTTTGTATAAAACACTCTTACACAAATGTTAAGTAATGAAATGGCTTCACAGATACACTGGCTGGCTGTGAATGGGCGGACAGAACTACTCCATGACCTTGTGCAGCATGTCAGTGATGTTGATGTTGAGGATGCCATGGGGCAGACAGCACTACATGTTGCCTGCCAGAACGGTCACAAGACGGTAAGTTCAGCCATGAGGACTTTAAGCTGCATGTGTTAGTTTTTAAAATTGAATTCGTGAAAAGCTTTTTACTGTGCATATTTGGGAACATGAAACATTATAGCAAAATCTTATTTTCTGCATTATATGGACTTTTTATTTTTTGAGACAGTGTCTCACTTTATTGCCCTGGAGCACAGCAGTGGGATCCTAGCTCACTGCAGCCTTAAACTCCTGGGCTCAAGTAGTCCTTACACCTCAGCCTCCCGAGGTGTAAGGACTGGGAGGTTGCTTACACCCAGTGGTTCACGCTGGGATTACATGCGTGAACCACTGCACCTGGCCTGTATGGACGTCTGATTAATATATTCTATTATTAATATATACTTCTGATAATGGGTAGAGGAAATAGAAAATAGTGCTTTTGGGCTGGGAGCAGTGGCTCACACCTGTAATCCCAGCACTTTGGGAGGCTGAGGCGTGTGAATTGCTTGAGCTCAGGAGTTCAGCTTGGGCAACATGGCAAAATCCCATCTACTAAAAATACAAAAAATTTAGGTGGATATGGTAGCATGTGCCAGTAGTCCCAGCTATTCCAGAGGCTGAAGTGGGAGAATTGCTTGAGCTCAGGAGTCAGTGGTTGCAGTGAGCTGAGATTGTGCCAATATACTCCAGTCTGGGTGACAGAGTAAGATCCTGTCTCAAAAAAAAAAAATCCTTCAAAATATTTATAATTTGCATTTTGATTTTATTTTTGATTCATATGTTTTAATAGCTGAATATACTAAAATTTTAAGTGTATATTCACATTTAATTTTAATATTTATAATGTTTATTACTGTTCTCAGTTTTGGCAAATAAAACTTCATATTTTATTTTATCTTTTGCCCTTAAGCCTCAATTTTGGGGTTTAGATAGTGAGGAAAGTGAGCAGTGACACTGGTTGAATAGTATGAGTCAGATTATCCTATTTTTCTACTTTGACTGTATATGGTACAAGTAGCAGTTCTTTCCTTTCCTTTTCTGTGTTTTTCTTTGCTTTTCTTTCTTTTTTTTTTTTTGAGATGGAACATTGCTCTGTCACCCAGGCTAGAGTGCAGTGGCACGATCTCAGCTTACCACAACCTCTGCCTCCTGGGTTCAAGTGATTCTTGTGCCCCAGCCTCCTAAGTAGCTGGGATTACAGGTGTGTGCCACCACACCCAGCTAATTTTTGTATTTTTAGTAGAGATGGGATTTTGCCATGTTGGCCAGGCTGGTCTTGAACTCCTAGCTTCAAGCAACTGCCTGCCTCGGTCTCCCAAAATGCTGGGATTACAGGTGTGAGCTACCATGCTTGGCTATTTTCTTTCTTACTCTAGGTTTCTAAAATCATGCATTTGTTTTATGAGAATGCTTTCCTTTTATTCCTGTGTCCAGACATTTGGCTTTTAAAATTGCTATTTCTCTCTTAGTAGGAGACTTTACTGCCTTATATAAAGATTGAGAGTTTAAGATTTTAGATTGAATTTCTGCTTTGCTATAATTTTCTACCCTGTTTATATTTTTCAGGTTTTTTTTTTTTTGACATTTAACATTATTGGTAATAGAATGTACAGGTGTGTGCCAGTAGTCTCAGCTACTTGGGAGGCTGAGGTGGAGAGGATCCCTTTAGCCCAGAAGTTGCAGGTTGTAGTATGCTGTGCTGGTTGGATGTCCATACTAAGTTTGGCATTGTTGTATCCAAGCGAGTTAGAAGGAAAGCGCCACGCTCTGAGTTCCAAATTAAGAGTCCTTTATTAATTAGCTGGTGACTGAGAGATGAGAGTTGGCTAACGCTCAGAATTCTCTCAGCCGGAGGAAGGGGCTTGATTTCCTTTATACCTTGATTTAGGTAGGGGAGGGAGAGCTTAGCTGAAGCAGAATTTTACAGAAGGGAACAAGCAAGTTAGATAAGGAAGCTGGTAACGAGGGGGCAGGAGATTCCCAGGATTGTTGGTTGCCAAGGGTATTTCCATACAATCATCAAGGGGGGGTAGCAGAGGGAACTTTTCCTTGATTTTTACAATCAATCACCAAGGAGGGTGTTCACAATGGCAGATAGACTTGCCAAGCAGAATGTGGTTACAGGTACTGTGAACAGTGTGAACCACTCCTTTTTTTTTTTTTTTTTTGGAGATGGAGGTTCGCTGTTGTTACCCAGACTGGAGTGCAATGGCAGGATCTCGGCTCACCACAACCTCCGCCTTCTGGGTACAAGCAATTCTCCTGCCTCAGCCTCCCAAGTAGCTGGGACTACAGGCGCATGCCACCATGCCCAGCTAATTTTTGTACTTTTTAGTAGAGACGGGGTTTCCCCATGTTGACCAAGATGGTCTCGATCTCTTGACCTCGTGATCCACCTGCCTCAGCCTCCCAAAGTGCTGGGATTATAGGCGTGAGCCACCTCGCCCGGCCAGTGTGAACCACTCTTAATGGTTCAAAGCTTGGAGTGCAGCTTGACCCAGTAATGTACCTGAGGGGGCCAAGGCAGGGAGGGAGAAGCCAAGCGGGAGCCTACCGCCAAGATGGAGTCAGTTAGGCTAACACAGCCTAGGTTATTACATTCCCCACTTGTGTTTTTGGAGAGTCAAAGCATTGACTCTTCCATTACAACAAGGGGATTATAGTGGCTTTTGAGATACCTAAGTTTGACAGAATTTATGCACTGCCTTATGAAAGCAAGGAGCCGGTTTAGTATACAGGGCCCAAAGATTAAGCCTCATAGGAGGAGAAGACGAACTGGAGCCCATTAAGTTTAATAAAGCTTAATAACTTTAATAGCCCAGTTATTAAAGTAGTTAGCCATGAGCTCCAGTTAAACATCTTTTGGTATCATGGGGTGTTCTTCTCCCACTCCTGTTGGCATTTATCTAAATTTTCTTGAACTCTTTTAAGAATGTCTTTTATGAGTCCAGATTGGTTAGCATAAAAACAACAGCTTTTTCCCAAAGCAGCACATAAACCTCCTTGAGAGAGGAACAGTAAATCTAAGCCTCGTCAGAGCAAATTCAGCTAGGGATTTGACCTTGGTATGTAACATATTTATGGCTGACTGGAGATTTCTTAAATCAGCATCTACTTAATGAGATAGGGACATTAGTCCAGTTTTTCCTGGACAAGAGCAGCAGTGTCGATAGCTGCTGACCCAGCTATGCTAAGGCCAGCCAGAAGGGCACAAGGGGTGGGACAGCTTGGCGGATCCTGGAATGCAGTTCAGGGGGAGTGATGAGGAGTTGTCCTTCTGGTCCGCTGTACACGTAGACCTGGGGAAGCACGTGGACAAACACACACAGGACAGGTCCAGGTTCAGTCCCACTGATGCAGTAGGTGAGGCCTGAGGTGCAGGTCAGCCAAGTACTGTTCGGTGCATGGTAGGAGACTGAGGGGTTTAGGGAAGTAAGTAGAGACTCTTTACATGTAGCCTGAAAAGGAGAAGCAGACAGTTTATACCCCTTGCTAATTATGCAGGTGGTGTTTCCTGCCACATCCCCTAGTGTAAGGGAATGGGGGGAGTGTCCTTTCCAAGCAGGATTGAGTCCTTCTTTGGGGAACTTTTGACATACACCAGGTCACTGGGATGAAAAATGTGGCAGGGCCTGCTTTGGTCAGGAACTGGATTAGGGTGTGCTCCCTGGCTGAGTGACTGGATGATATCTTGAACCTGTTGGAGAGACTGTAGGTACTGTAACGAGTTGGCTTGGTCTGTTTCTGCTAGATGGATATTTTTAGCTTAGGCAAGATAGGGGGAGCCCTCCCATACATGATTTCAAAAGGAGAGAACCCCGCCTTGTAAGGGGTGTATCTGACTCTAAGAATGGCTAAAGGAAGGAGGTTTGTCCAACCCTCACTGATCTCCAAGATAAATTTTGTAAGAGTACTTTTAAAGGTTCTATTCATGTGAATATGGTGACCTCTCAGGAGAAGGCACTGCTAGGTTCCCTGAGTAGAGGTGAACCAGACCAGGTCAGAAACAGAGCACGTCAAGAACCTCATGCTGGTCCGTTTGTGGGATTATACCAGTGAATTGCCACTGTACCTCATCTCTTAAAAAAAAAAAAAGAGAATGTAATTTATTTTCTTGCTGACCATAATAATAACAAAACCAACAGAAAACAAAGTCAGTACCATTAACTACAAGGATACAAAGTTTGTTTATTTATTTTTTGTTATAGACTTTCTGAGTCTTATCTCTTGTTAGGAGAATTTCTAGTGGAATCTGGATTTTTATCTCTTCAAACACTTTTTCCTTAATCTTGTTTCAGAATGTATAATCACGGTTCACAGAATATTGGACTTCTTCAAGACAGGTTGACATTGTCTTATGTTTAATAGGTTGTTGGAAAAATGGAGGGATATATGATCCTTTTTCTGTTTCGTGGAATTTTTTCTGAATACCAGTGTTCATGTGCACTTTTTGTCTTTTATCATCTGAAAACTAATGCAGTATTTTCAACTATATTCTTTTAATTGGTTTTTGCTACTTAGAGTCAACATTATTAAATTTAAAAAATATTCTATGTGGGAAATAAAAGATCTGAAATGTCCTAATCTTGAGTGCTTCAGGTTTTTAAGGCACTATTGCATTTTAGAGAATGAGTCTAGCTGATAGCTCTGAGGTCTGAAAAGCACCTACTTTAACATAAACACCCTCTGCTATAACAGATGAGCAGAGTGTCATTTTGTAAGACTTGCACACCCTATCTGGTGCCCAGGAACTTGGATAGGAAAAATACTGGGATTCAGATAGAAAAAGATCTATAAAAGCTAATTTTAGCTGCTTTGAACTAGTATAGAAGCAAGAATTACTAAGAAAACCTTGTTCAAAACATGTGCATTACAGGCTGCATTAAAACTTTAGAATTGCCTTCTGAAGTTATTGAAAATTAGGTGGTATAATATACTCCATATGGTTTACATCTTAAAGCAAGTGTGGTAAAGGAATGGAGAATTCCTCATAGTCAGATGCCTTTGAACAATTGTATTCTCAGAAGATTTATAGG